TTCCAAGGTCTCTGCTGCTTTCCCAGGTCACAAGCTGGAGCTGGAAGGAAAGTAGATTGATATGAGGTGGCGGTTCCTCATCCTTGGGTACTGGGACTTGTGGAAAGTCGTGAGTAGTTTCCCCAAGAACAATGAGAAGAAATAGCTAATTTAGAAGCAATGAATTCACTCAGTTTTCCCTAAACCTCGATCCTTCCCACCCTGATCAAACATGTAATTATTTGAAAATTAAAAAAAGAAAAAAACATTGCCTGCCAGTTGGGCACCAATACATGTCCCAGCTGCTCTACTTCCCATCCAGCTCCCTGCTTGTGGCCTGGGAAAGCAGTCAAGGACGGCTCAAAGCCTTGAGAAGCTGGACCCATGTGGGAAACCTGGAAGCAGTTCCTGGCTTCAGATCTGCTCAGCTCCAGCTGTTGGGGCAACTTGGAGAGTGAACCAGCAGAGAGAGAAGATCTCTGTATCTCCCCATCTCTGTAGCTCTGCCTTTCAAATAAAAATAAATAATTTTTTATATTTTTTATTTTGAATTTTGAATTATTAAGTGGTACAATTTTGTATAGACTGGGATTCCCTGCAAACTCCAACCACACCCCAACAAATTTTCCCCATTTTACTACACTAGTACAGTCCTTCATAAGGAATTATCATTCCGGGCCCAGTGTAATAGCATAATGATTAAGGTCCTCACCTTGAACGCTCTGGGATCCCATATGGGCACCGGTTCTAATCCCAGCAGCTCCACTTCCCATCCAGCTCCCTGCTTGTGGCCTGGGAAAGCAGTCGAGGATGGCCCAAAGCCTTGGGACCTTGCACCTGCATGGGAGACCCAGAAAGAAGTTCCAGGTTCCTCGCTTTGGATCGGCACAGCATCGGCCGTTGCAGTCACTTGGGGAGTGAATCATTGGACAGAAGATCTTCCTCTCTGTCTCCCCCCTCTGTATATCCGCCTTTCCAATAAACAAAATAAATCTTAAAAAAAAAAAGAATTATAATTCCATCAGTCTGTTATTTAAGTGTGCCTCGACATTGCTGGTAAAGACAATGTCAGACAGTCCAGCATTCCATTGTTTACACATGTCCAACATTTTCATTGGGAATCCATCTTTCGTCTGGAAGTAGGGATGCATGTTGCATATCTGGATATGGTAGACCCCAGTATCCCATCACTATACATTTCCATAATCGAGAAGCCATGAAACAAGGTCAACAACTGGTATGAGTTAGAACATAAACCACAACATCAACAACAAATTACAGCACCTTGAAAAAACGCACCACTGAGTAACCAAAACATGAGTGACAAAAAGGAAACACAAAACTCTCTAGGGAAAAATAATGCCACCATGTAATCCATGAGCCAGCAATGAATTCGACAAGAGAAAAGAAAGTATTTGAAATAAACAAAACTGAAATAAAAAACATCAAAACACATGGGATATAGCCAAAAAAAAAAAAAAAACAAAAACAGTATGGATCAAATTATTGAAGTTACATTTTCCATGCTGGTTTCCTTATGTAAGAGAGAACATATGGAATTTGTTCTTTTCTGATTCACTCATTTCACTAAGCATAATGGTCTCTATTTGGGACCACCTAGTTGTAAATAGTATAATTTCGTTCTTCTTAAAGCTGAATAATATTCCATGGAGCAGATTACCAGTTTCTTTAATCACTCTTCTTTGAATGCACAGCTGGATTGTTTCCATGTCTTTGCTATTATAGATTGTTCTGCTGCAAATATAGGATTACATATCTCCTTCTCATGTGCAGATTTCACTTCTACTGGGTATATTCCTAGGAGCGGGATAGCTGGGTAATATGGCAGGTTTGTTTGCACTTTTCCAAGCACTATCCATACTGATTTCCACAGTGGTTGTACTAGCCTACACTCCCACCAGCAGTGAAGGAGGATGTCTTTCTCCACACATCCATGCCAGCAGGTGTTGTTAGTTTTACTGGAGTTAGGTGGGACCTCAACATGGTTTTCATTTTTCTCTCTCTGATGACTAGGGATCCTGAGCATCTTTTCACATGTCTGCTAGCCATGTGAATCTGTTCTTTTGAAAAAAATATCTGTTCATTTGCTTTGCCCATTTTGCTACAGGGTTGTTGTTTGTTTTGGTGGGGGTTTTTTTTTTTTTGTCCTTGGGTTTCTGAAGCTCTTTGTAAATCCTGGATATTAGTCCCCTTTCGCTTGTGTAGTGTGCAAAAATTTTCTCCCATTCTGTTGGTTGCTTCTACACTGTGTTTAGTCCATGAGTGTAGTGGGAATTTATGTTTAGGATTTTCTTTCCTTGATCTTTACGTTTCTCCTTCTGTGATGCCTTTCGTCCCTTAACTGATTTAATATAAAGTTGTAGAATGAGGGTTGTAGCAGGAATGTTTTCTGATTGATATGTGCCATCTATGGAATTTCCTGGATCGCAGGGTCTGAATAGATAAGTCCTTCTTTAAGGTGAAATGAATGGCAGAATTATCCTTGGAAACACCCACTTGTCCATTGTAGAATCAAAATCAAAATGGAGCAAGCATGGCTCATTGCCAACCGCAATTTTCTAACTTCTGCTTTTGTAACTGCTGCTTTACTTGCTTGGCTAACAAACTGTACAAGCCTGTAGGCCTAATGGTCAATGCGACTTTTAGTGCCAATGGTCCCAATCCCCATAAATCAAGGCTACTGCCTGCAAGGATGGCGTCCCAGATGGGACCCAGTTTGTGTCACAGACGCTTTGCTTCCTATCCAGCCCTCATCTCTTTCATATCAAATAAAACAAATCTTAAAAAATTAAAGTTTGCTACCTTTCATATTGTTCCTTCCCTTAAATGCTTGTTGTTTCTTGATCGACTCTCAAATCAATCATCTAAGGCTTTTTAGTTTTATTTGAAAGTTAGATTCGGAGAAACAGATCTTCCATCTGCTGATTCACTCCTCAAATGGCTGCAACAGCAGGGACTGAGCTGAACCAAAGCCAGGAACCCAGAGTTTCCTCCGTGTCTCCAGGGCCCAGAGAATTGGGCCAGCCTCCACTGCTTTCCCAGGCAGGCCACTATCAGAGCTGGGTCAGAAATCAAGCCATCAGGACAGAAACCAGCACCTATGTGGGATGCTCGTGCTACTGCCAGAGGCTTAGCCTACCACACTATACTGTCAGCTCCTATTTAGTCACTTGGCGTGAAAAATTCCTAAGGATGGAGGACCAATCAGTAGGAAAAGTGGGAGACTGACAGCAGATTTCTTTGCCTGTCTTCTGTACTTGAGGAATCAAAATCACGTGTGGTATGCAAGTTACCCTTGGAACACTACCATACTTTGGCAACCCCTATATTTACACTCTGCACATATGCTCTTATCTTGACTTTGGCAAACAGCAAGCTGTGTTATGTGCTTTAGCTTTAAGAAATTCTGTGGGCGGCACTGGCAGCACTGGCCTGAGACAGCAAGAACACTGTCTGGCTTGGCAACCAGACAACCCCTCACAACTGCCTCAAAATTGGAGGCAGAGGTTGGCAGCAGGGTGGAGCTGGTAAAGCTGCCGCTTGCAGTGCTGGCACACATATGGGTGCTGGTTTGTGGTCTGCTCCACTGCTGATCCAGATCCTTACTAATGTGCCCAAGAGAACATCAGCAAGTCCCTGGGACCCTGGAACCATGTGGGAAACCCAGAAGCAGCTCTTGATTCCTGGCTTTGGCCTGGCCCAGCCCTGGCTGCTGCAGGAGGTGATCCTTTAATATCATCTCTGCATGGTTGTCAGCTCTTTGTCTCCCTTGCTTTCACCAAGATCTGATTCCTGATTTATAGTTCTATTACAGATTTTTCTTTCTTACCATAACTCCTTATTGTTTCTGTAATTTGGAACTTTAGAATGCAGTGACTGGGATCCAGTAGGCCATTCAGATATGGAACTTTCCTAAGCTGTGCCTTACATTCCTGTAACAAGAGGTGTTTATGGTCTCTCCCATACTCCATGTTGTTTCACACTTTCCTTGTTACCAGAGGGGCCATCTATCACCATCAACAGAACCTCCACCAGATCCTAATTTCTGTTAATTAAAAACACAAGAAAAACCCAAGAAGAATTTGAGCAAGCCTCAAATGGTGACAGGGTCTGCCGAATTTGCCATTGCTACAAATCTTCCTTCCAGGCCCGTAAGTTCCCCCAATTGAGTCTGCCAACTAATCCAGGTATGAGACAAATTGTTATTTTGTGATATTCTGTCCCAGGAACCGGGGCACTTTGCTAACACTATGACTCCATTTACTATACATCAACAGATGTCAAACTGTAATCAAAATCTGCTATACCTGGGGCCAGGGCCATAGGTTAGCCGCTGAAGTTCTCACCTTGAATGCAACAGGATCCCATATGGGCCCTGTTCATGTCCTGGATGCTCTAGCTCCCATCCAGCTCCCTGCTTAAGGCCTGGGAAAGCAGCAGAGGATGCCAAAGCCTTGCTTCTGGTCAGTTCAGCTCTGATCATTGCAGCCACGTGGGGAATGAGCCAGCAGATGGAAGAGCCTTCTCTGTCTCTATAAATCGGCCTCTCCAATAAAAATAAAATCAATTTTTAAAATGATCAACTGCTAATTATATACTCTATTTTGAATACGTAGTTTTATCAACCGTTAATATCAAACACAACTTTAAAAGCAGAGAATTTTTAAAAGTTTACTTGTCGAGTCTAGTCTAAAAAACACACACCTGGCCACGCAGAATGCCTGTACCACACAGCAACGTGTCTGAGTCGGACTCCCCAATCTGGTTCCTGACTCCATTCCCTGCTAATGCAGACCCGTGGGCAGCAGCGATGAGTATTCTACCCAGGTGGGCTGGGGTTATAGCTCCTGCCTTCAGCCCAGCACAGCACAGAATGTTTAGGCTTTTAGGTAGTGAATCAGTTGACAGGGTATCTTCCTCTCATCCGCAAACAAATGAAATTAGTTTTTTAAGGGCTACATTCTACATGACAAAAGAACTAACACAACTGCAAAAAACTCATTTGTATTCAAATGTATTTTCAGGAAGATTTCAAGATTTGACACAGGCACAGAGAAAAGGAACAAATGAAAACAAGTATAAACAAGGCCAGTTTACAGACTGACCTCCATTTGAAATGCTTAAAAAAAATATTTAGCCATAGTTTTAAAAAATATGATGATCAAGAAAATTTCTTCAAGTCTTCGATTATTAATACTTTTGAACTGAATTCATACATTAAGGCAAATCTTGATTTGTAAATAGTCATTTAATTGATGAACTGTTTCATTTAAATTGCTAATCCAGGGAGAAAGTTTTCATAAAAAACATTTTATTGCTACAAAGGGAAACATGGTCACAAAAAGCCTTTAAGCGTATCTTAACGCAAATTACTATTCAATGTCCAATGCAGTAAAAAAATACACAATCAGAGCACAAAATACTTGCCCAATTACTCTCTTCTAGGGTAAGTATTCAAAAAATTAATGCACACTTGAATATTCACTCAAGAGCAGCTTTTAAGTTCAAATGATTAGAACAGATACACTTACAATACATATCTATCATCCTTAACATCAATAAAGTAATAAAAATCAAGCTTAAAAATTATACAAACAATTTATCAGATCTGTTTGGTAACTATAAAAACTAAACTAAAATAGTCTTACCTTCATTTTATTAAACAAATGTCAAACATTTAGAAATTATATAAAACAAATTTTAATGTGTGGAATGCATGCAACATGAATATTAACTCATTTTAAAATATTAAATTCTTACCCTTTTCCATATTAGCACTGAGATTTAAAGCTTTTTTAAATCTAATGCTTTACATTTAATTTTCTTCAAGCTATTCAACAGTGAAGTCAATAGGCTCTTCCTTTGCTTCTTCCCCTCCCTCCACTTCTCCCCCTCCCTCCTCTTCCCACGCTGCCCCCACTGCTCCAACTTCCTCTCCTGTTTCAGCTTCTCCAACATCCTCTGCAGCTTCTGCTTCCTCCACATCCTCTGCTTCTTCCTCCTCTTCATCTTCCTCTTCTACAGGTTCATCAATCTTTTCTTCATCTTCATCATCTCCTTGCTGATCTTGAGAATGGTCTTGAATTTCAAAAGGATTCTCACCCTAAAAACATAAGAAGTAGCTTTTAAAATCGGAACACCTATTTTGCATCCATGGAATTTTAACTTGTTGTACCATGAAAATAATTATTTGAACAGACTCTTCCATTAAATATTTACTGAGTACCTACTTACCTACAATGTAAGTCATGATATTCTACAAACTGGAGGTCTTAAAGTCTATATTTCCTTAACTGAAGTTCTGAAATCATACGTTAAATGGAAATGAAAATCAAGTACCTTGTCTTACCTACCATGCCTTACTTCTAATTAAAAATAAGCAAACAAAAACAGACAAAGAATTAATTCAGTAAACATTAACAGTCACACATTTTAACATTCAAGTTCCACACCTAAAACAAATTTTACATACGTTTGACCATCAGAGAAGATTATAAATGCATTAAGAAATGAAGAGGCAGCAAGGCCTATTAAGAAAGAACTGCAACTGATTTTTATACCATAGGGTGAAGCAGACCGAACGTGTAGGATGAAGCAGAGTAGTAAAGAAAGAACTACTACTGAAGGACTATCCTAAAAGCCCGGAAGAGAAATGTGTTAAAGATGTGGTGCCAGCATTAACAGAGTACAAAAATTGAAATCAGGAAAGGGAATGTAGGTGAATATTAAATATATTTAGAATTAAAGACATCTAAAAGTTTACCAGGCAGCCATGATACAAAGAAAATCCCAAGACTTGTATGCATAAAGCACACAGGAAAAAAATACAAATGGGATAGTTCTGAAGCAGGACTAAAAATGCAAAAAACAGGGCTGAGGATAAAACTGAAAATGTCTACACTTGGGGGCAGAAAAAAAAAAGAGACACTTGGTGTAGGTGGAGAACCAGGAGAGTAAAATACCATCTATCAAAACTGCTTCAAAAAGAAGCTGAAAACAGTGTCATATGATGGAAACAGAGGATTGAAAAATATGTCATTATTAAAGCTGCATAAGGCTTCTTGGAGATTGTTCCACCTATCTGATTTGTTTATGTTTAAAATAATAATGCTCAATTCTTTAAAGACCCTCAGATGTGACAACTGGGTCACTGGCAATTTCAAATAGATGATATAATTGGAAGTCAGATGGCAGCTCTACCCAAGAACTATCCTTACAATTTCCCAAGAAACTCTCAAAATACACTTATGTACTGGTCCCACAATGATTCTAAGCAACATTTTATCTTTTGTCTCTTTATCTCTCCACTGAGAGCCAGAAACACAGCATGAAACAGAGAGCAAGAAATTGCTCTTGCCCAATTTCAACCATTACAGGGAAAAGGTCTTTACTTATAGCAAAGGTACTGAGTAAAATTATTCATGTGATGTATGTGAATATCATAAAGGTTTATTACTACTTATTATTACCATTCAAATATGGCAATACTAACTAAAAATCTTCTGTCCTTAAACCTTACCTTAACAAAACGTTCATAGCGTGCTTTCACTATCGGATTATTTAAAATGCTTGTAGCAGTTAAGACACTCTCTCTTTTTATTTGTTCCTTATAAGCCTATAAAAAAACAAAGCACAATGAGAATAAATTAAAGACATGTCATGATTTTCTAACAAACCAAGGTAAAGAGCGACATAGGTAGATACTGTGACATAATCTAAATCACCAATGGATTAAAACAAGGCACATTCAATAAACTGACCAGCTTTAATTAAAAATATTTAACCCACATACTAAACACTATATAGTATCCCTTTTCACTCTTCTACATTCTCCTCTTCCAATTACTGAAAAAAATTAAAGATTTTTTTTCTATTTGAAAGGCAGATTTACACACACAGAAAGGAAAAAAAAAGATGAGATCCAACATTCATTCCCCAAATAGCTGCAGCTGAACTGAGCTGATACAATCTGGAGCCAGGAGATTCTTTTGGGTCTCCCACATGGGTAGCAGGGGCCCGAGAACTTCAACACTTTCTGCTGCCTTCTCAGACAACTGGCAGAGAGCTAGTGGAGCAAACTGATAAGAACAAGCACTCAACTCACAGGGGATGCTGGAGTTGCAGGAGTGATAGTAGTTTACTGAGTGGGCCACCTGCATCAGTCTCCAATCACTGATTTTCATGTTACCAAAAATACTTTATGCCATAAGTTATTAGTCTTTCTCTAGATTGTTGTTACCACCAGACTCTATGATATAAATACAGCAATATGAAATGTCTGATTGCCAAAAGGTGTCAGACAGGAATTTTAAGACACAAGACTAAAAACAGTACTTAAAGGAGTCATAGGTTAAAATGAGGTTCACTCTATACAAAATATCTATTTCTGCACACTCAATCTGAGAATGTCAATTTGCTTCTCAAACAATTGAATTTTTCAATTCGCTTTTCAAGAGAACAAGTTTCTCGCAACACAAATTTGTATTGTTTAAAACAAATCTGACTACAGCCCGGCAGCCTAGTGGCTCAAGTCCCCGCCTTGCATGCCCAGGACCCCATACGGGCATCAGTTCATGTCCCAGCGGCCCCGCTTCCCATCCAGCCCTGTTTGTGGCCTGGGAACCCAGTCGAGGGCGGCCCAAAACAGTAGGGACCCCGCACCCACATGGCAGACCCCGTAAAGAGGTTTCTGACTCCTGGCTTAAGATCAGCTCAGCTCTGGCCACTGCGGTCACTTAGGGAGTAAACTAGTGAACACAAGATCTTCCTCTCTCTCACTCTTTCTCCCCCCTCTATATCTGACTTTCCAATAATAATAATTTTTTTAAATTGACTAAATAAAATTAGCTAACACAGAAGCAGAAATATATTAATGTAACAGTCCACTACTGCTACAGTGATTTAACAACCACACACAAAACTGGTATCCTATTTGAAAACCAGTGGCTGACTTCAAATCCAGCTACCTAACTAATGCACCTACGAAAGCAGAGGCAGACTGAAAGTTATGTGGGCTCAAGGAACCCCTATGGAAGATCCTGGTGGAGTTCCAGGGTTCCTGGCTTTCACCTGGTCACTGAGGCAATTTGGGGAGTGACAGTCAACAGAAGATCTCTCTGCCTTTTCATCTCTTAGTTGCTATTTCAAATAAATCAATCTTGGGGGTGGAGGTAGTAAAGTATCAGGAATATTCTATTCATCGACTATAACAGTATTAAAACTGATAATTCTAGTTTTCAAGTTTATTTAACCTATTCTGCAAAAAAAAAAAACCCAGTTATAATCAAATGTTTCCTTTTTAACACACACATACTCTAAAAATTATATTGTACCAACTTTAAAAAAAGCAAATGCAAATGTAAAAAGGGCATCATCTCATCCACTCCCCCCACCCTAATCAGTTGTCAACATGGGCATACATCCTTCACAACTACATAAACGTCATCAAAAATTAAATTATTAAAAAGAAGCAAGTAGTACAACAGTTGCCTTCATACCTTAAAAATTACATTAAGAATGACTGTCCATCTTTTTTATAGATATGCAAGCTTAGACAAAGCATCTTAGCTGCTAATCAATACATTTCACTACTAAACAGAAATTCAAAGTCTTGCTCCAGAACCCACAATCCTAGCTTTTGCTCCACATGGTCTGAATATACTTATAATGATTCAAATTTAGGTAAGATTGTTTACTGATAGGCATGAAACAATGGCCTTAGAACAAAAAGAACTGAAAGACAATTCAACAATTTACAACTTAAGACTAATCAATATTTACCTGTTTCCCCTTGATATGATCAGGAGATTTTAAATGCTGCTGGACTGAACTATGTAACGCAGGAATATAGACACTGCAAGCACTGCAATGAACAGTCTCCACTTTCATCATGTGATCATCTGCAGTGACACCTACAAAAAGAATCCAATTATTAGCAGCATGTGCTGGGGTAGGCATTGCGGTGCAATGACTTAAACTTCTGCCCGGGAAGACTACATCCCATATCAGACTGCTAGATCAAGTCCCAACACCATTCTAGGAGGCAGCACGAGTGTCAAGTGCTTGGGCCTCTGACACCCAAAGAATGGACAATTTTTCTCTTTAAAGTTGATGAAAATAAACATTTTGAAAAAAATCAATCATCCTTTAGACCCATATATTCTTATTCATGATAAGATTCAAGGTTTTACTAGTTTCCTTGATTATTCTACCCTTTTTCCCAATAAAGGGTCAGAGAATAGGTGTGAATTTTTCTACCATATCATAAATCTACACAGATATGTTTGAAAATATGTGTAGCTAATCAAATCATAAAGACACAGACATTTTGCCTGAGTGGCTGAGTTCTGACTCCATTCTCAATTCCCACTTCCTGCTAACATGCATAAAGGGAGGTTGCAATTGACAGCCCAAGTAGTTGGGTCCCTAACACCCACCTAGGAGTTTCTAGCCCCTGGCTTTAACCTGATCCAGGCCCAACCATTGCATGTACATACGTTGTGAATTGAATATAGAAGCATATGCCATGCATACACTCTGCCTCTCAAACAAGTATCCTTTAAAATTCTAATGTCTAATTGAAATGTCTTTCTTCATCATGTTATATAAATATGTTCTGTGGCCTATAACTCTATCCTTTCAAAAGTATAAGATAAAAGGAAAGCAAATACTGATTGTTTAGATAAAATAAGAAATTCTGTGATTATAAACATGTACTGTAAAGGAAAGGGGAAAAGGTATCATTCAGATTCATAAAGAATATTCGATTAGTCTGTAGCATCTTGAAAATGTACCACAAAATGATGGCATAATGAAGTTAAGCCACTCATTCTGCAGGAGTGCTGCTTTGAGTCCCCACTGCTCCACTTTCAATCCAACTCCCTGCAAATATGCTCAGGAAAGGAGTAGAAAACGGCCTTAGTTCCCGGGCCCCTCGACCCGATAGGGATCCAAATGGAATTTCAGGCTACTGGCTTTGACTTAGCCAAGCCTTGGCCACTGTAGTCACTTGAAGTGTAAGCCAAAATATGGAAGATCTCTCTTGCTCTATATTGCCCCCTAAGTAAACAAATTTATGGGAAAGGAAAACAAAATAAATCAAGTTCATTATAGGTAAAGATATAAAAATATGAAAAGGAATGAGAGAAAAACAGCACAGCTGGGTATTGCATAGTACTTTAAAAAAACGAAAGGAAGGAAGGAAGGGAGGGAGAGAGGGAAGGAGGAAGGAAGGAAGGAAAGAAGAAAGAAAAAAACAGTTTTCTGTTATGCCTGGGTATTTGAACCCTGACATGTAGTAAGCTCCTAGAGTAAAATCAGGGATAAGAATGGAAGTTAAAAAAAACAACTACCTGGGAAAATATTGCAACTGTCATGAAAATACACAAGGATCTGAAAAAATTAATGCTTAAGAAATAGACTACAAACAGATATAGAGATTTGGTAAATGGTTTTCTTTGTTTCATTACTTTCGCTTTGTCAAATAAAAGCAACTTCATAGCTCAAGAGAAAGACTGAAAACCAGAGTTCAGTATTTTTCACCCAGAGGAAAAGATGATTTTTTCTTTAAACTGAAGTGATGGAGATAAATGGCATGTAGATAAATTTGCAATATGAAAACAGGAAATGGTTCATTTCTAATAAATAATTTTGGGGCTACCGCAAGTGAAATTGTAACATACACCCACAAGGTTTGTCATTTAGATTAACACTTATTAGGAAATATAAACTGTCCAGGTAAATTTATAAAACTTGCTTAAACACTTACCTTCCATAATATCTTTTTCAATTATTCTGATTATTTCTGGTTGACTACTTGCCTGTTGCTTACGAATAGATGTTTTTTTGAATTTATTTACCATACATTCCTAAAAAACAAAACAGAATCCAGTTTCCAACATTCTTATCCTCTGTAAGGCAAAACATGGTCTTGAAGGATCTTAAACCTAGTTGAAGAGATTACTAGAAATTTATCAAAATTATTCCATTTCCAAATTGCATTTTAGGTATACAAAGAAAGACAGCAAAGAAAACTACATTGGGAGAGGCCACTGTCATAGCAATCAAAACACAGTTTAGGAACCCTGCATTTCATGTTAAGTATCTAAATTCAAGTCCCTGCTCTGCTTTCAACTCTTGCTTCCTAGGAACAGACACCTAAAAGGGGGCAGTAATGGATCAAGTAACTGGGTTAATCTATGTGGGAGACGTGGCTTCAGTTCCGGGCTTCAGCACAGACTAGCATAGCTGCTGCAGGAACTTCAGGAGTGAGCCAACAGGTATAAGACACTCATTCATATTCTGTCTGTCTGTCTCTCCATCCACATTTTTTTTTAAAGATTTCTTTTTTTAAATTTTTATTGCAATGTCAGATATACAGAGGAGGAGACAGAGGAAGATCTTCTGTCCAATGATTCACTTCCCAAGTGACTGCAATGGTAGAAGCCAGGAGCCAGGAACTTCCTCCAGGTCTCCCACGTGGGTGCAGGGTGACAAGGCTTTCCCAGGCCACAAGCCGGAAGCTGCATGGGAAGTGGAGCTGCTGCCCATATGGGATCCCAGTGCATTCAAGGTGAGGACTTTAGCCACTAGGCCACCGCACTGGGCCCTCCACTCACATTTATGAATAATTTACATGTCTCTCCCCACTCTCATTTCAATTTTATCATACAATTCCATAGGCTAACACGCACTTTTTAATTGCTTAAAAAAAAAAAAAAGAGCTAGGGCCCCGCACAGTAGCCAAGCAGCTTAAGTCCTCACCTTGAATGTGCCAGGATCCCATATGGGCACTGGTTCTAATCCCAGCAGCTCCACTTCACATCCAGCTCCGTTTTGAGGCCTGGGAAAGCAGTCAAGGACAGCCCAAAGCCTTGGGACCCTGCACCCGCGTGGGAGACCTGGAAGAGGCTCCTGGCTTCTGACCGGCTCAGCACCAACTGTTGGACCCCTTGAGGAATGAATCATCAGAAGGAGGAAATTCCTCCGTCTTCCCTCCTTTGTATATCTGACTTCCAACTTAAAAGGAAGGAAGAAAGAACTATAGGGACCAGCATTGTGGCACAAATGTTTGTGCATGCCACTATCTGAATGCCAGCATCCCATACAGCCTTTGGTACAACTCCCCAATGTTCTGATGTAGCTGCCTGCTAATGCACTTGGGGAGGCAGCAAGGATGACCTCAGTGCTGGCTCAAGTCCTGGTTCTTGGCTTCAGCCTGGCCCACTGCTGGCCACTGTGGCCATTTGATACGTGAACCTGCAGAAGAAGTGTTCTTGCGCTTGTGCTCTTTTCAACCCACCCACACCACTCTTTCAAATAAAACTAACTTTAACAAGAAAAAGCTAGATAAGTCAGAGGACAGCTCAGGGCAGCTGTGTTTTTAAGTCACAAATGATGATTAAAGCCTGTAAGAAACTACAGAAAATATATTTTAAGGGAATTTTATTTAGAAGGTTGAGATTTGAATAATCAGTTATTTCTAACTTGCCAGTAATTTCATCACTTCAGCCAAAATTCAATTATTTACAATTAGCAATCCATCAAGCTCAAGCCCCTGCTTTTGGCATTCCTACTACTTTCTCATTTTTCCAATATATATACTTCTATATTCCTGGCTTCTCCATTATACTGAATCATCTAAGTGTGAATACATTATGTTTCTAATTATTTGATTTGCTGATACTGTGTTTCCAGTACCTGACACAGCATCACTCAGATATCCAATAAACAATGTTAGGCTGATGATCACCTACTGATAATATGGATACTGAACACACACTGGACTTTGAGGATCTCCATTTAAACGACCTCATACTGTCACATTACTGTTCTGAGCCCTGACCTTTCATGGTAAACATGAGTTGGTGTGAGGTACCTACTACCATCCTACCAATACAGTAGATGTTCAATAGATGGTATTTGAATCTACAGCAATAAATGATGGTCAGAAGAATCTATGTGCTGGATATCTATTCCAGAACTGCCATGACAACTGCAAAATGACTAATAAAATAATAAATCCAAATTCGATTATACCAGGATTCACATCTAACTATGGGTTAATTTTGGGGGGGGGGGGGAGAGGGGACAGGGGTTAACTTTTCAGTAATTCTTTAAATAACTAAATTTCTAGAAACACAATGAGACAAGGGAAACTGAAGAAATTCACATCAGATAAAATGCACATCCTTTAGAAAATGCTACTCACATGCAAAAACTCCATAACTACTTTATCAAACTTGGTTTGCTTCTGAATATGATCTAATGTCTCCTGATGTGAAGAACTTTCCAGATGTAGTTCGATGTCTTTTTCTTCAAATGTCCGAAATTTACAAAATGAACATGTGAATGCCATTCTGAAATGAAAATGTTTTTTCTTTGAAAATTATCTTGATTTATAAAAATATACCACTGAAACTACTTTTTACCAACACAAGTGATTTCCTTTCCTCTATTTTTTGATTAACTTCCTTTGGCTGGAAAAGTCATTATTTCACCTTTGTATTTCTGGCCCAGCTTCGAGCTTCTTCTGGGTAAGAAAAATGGGATCAATGCATCTATAAAAACACACTTCTAAACCCAGACCATTAAAAGCAAACCTCGCGATGTTCTCAAATTCCAAAATTCTACAACTTATTTCATTGCTTCATCCTTAAGATTTTCAACCACTAGTGCACCATATATGTATAAAGTCAGGTGGCTCAACAGACAACCACAATTTATTCCTATGGAACTGCTGGGTGATCAAATCCTGCCTCCTGATGAACACTGTAGGTGACTAACAGCTCTAGCATGGAAAAATGCAAATGAGAGGATTACAAAAGCTCAGGGAAATGAAATGGAAGGCAAATTTATTGAGGGTATGTTGTAGCCTAAAAGGTTAAGGCACGTCAAGTACTGGCTACTCCACCTCCAACTGAGCTCCCTGCTAATGTATTGGAGAATGTCCCAAGTGCTTGGACCCATGTACCCAGTTGGGAGAGCTGGAGGAAATTCCTGGCTCCTAGTTTAAGCCTGGCCCAGTTTTGGACAACTCAGCCATTAGGGAGATGAACTAGGAAATGGAAGGGATCTCTCTCTTCCTCATGCTAACTCTTTGAAATAAATAAATCTTTTTAAAAAGGTAACTTTATTCTGGAACAAAAAAACGTTTACATCTATGTATATCGCAAGACCGAGTGAGAGTATCTTAAAGATTTCCTTATTTTTATGGAAAGGCAGATATAGAGAGAGGGAGAGACAGATTTTCTGTTCACTGGTTCACTCCCCAAGTGGCCGAATTGGCCAGAACTGAGTCCATCCAAAGTCAAGAACTTCTTCTGGGTCTCCCAAGTGGGTGCAGGGTGCCAAGACTTTAGCACATCCTCCACTGCTTTCCCAGGCCACAAGTAGGGAGCTGGATGGGAACTGGAGCAGCTGGGACACGAACTAGTGCCCATGCGAGACCTCAGTACATGCAAGGCAAGGATTTAGCCACCAGGCTACTGTGCTGGGCCTGAGAATATCTTAATTTAATTTGGAAGAAAACTCATACACTTTAAAAGCTCTTCATCAAACATCTGCAGTTGTAGCAATCAGGGGAGCTATCCAGAAGATGGGACAGCTGCCTCTATCTCTGGCAACTTTATTTCTGTCGATTCTTGCCTTTCAAATCAGTAAGACAGTTTCATCTACCTATATATTTTTATTCAAGCACTTAAATCTTTTCACACTGAACAAACAATTCTTAGAGAGTAAACATGTATTTGAATGGAAGAAAAAATAAGTTTTTATTAGTATTCTTTTCGCTACACAGCTTACATTTTACCTAACAGACTTCAACAAATTCATACAAAATGGAATCAAAAGATTAAACTGCGATGCAAAATTCTGAAATCATATAAAAAATGTTCAAAAGTTCCTAACATGCATTTTACCAAAAAATTTTCTCATGGATCTCAATATTTTTGTATTAGAGCTTATCTTTAATTTCATCTTCCATGACCTTTATGAAGCAACCTTAAAAGTACTTTTCAGGTTTGCCTGAATATTCCCTATTATTTCTGGGGCTGGCAGTGTAGCAAACACATTAAACCTCTGCCTGCAATTCTAGGCTCTCTTAGCAGTTCAAGTTCCAAATGCTCTATTTTGGTTCAAGATCCCTGCTACTGCACATAAGAAAACAGTGGAAGATGGCCCCATAACCATATGAGAATCCTAGAAGCTCCAGCCACCTGGCTGCAATTGGCCCAGTCCTTACCATTGAGGCCATGGTGAGAGTGATACATATTTCTTTTTAAGAACACCATATGGCCCGGCTGCTGGCCTACTGGCTAAAGTCCTCGCCTTCAATGTGCCAGGATCCCATATGGGCGCCGGTTCTAATCCCAGCCGCTCCACTTCCCATCCAGCTCCCTGCTTGTGGCCTGGGAAAGCAGTTGAGGATGGCCCAAAGCTTTGGGACCCTGCACTAGTGTGGGATACCCAGAAGAGGTTCCTGGTTCCCGGCTTCAGATTGGCGCAATACTGGCTGTTGCAGTCACTTGTGGAGTGAATCATCGGATGGAAGATCTTCCTCTGTCTCTCCTCCTCTCTGTATATCTGACTTTCCAATAAATAAATAAATCTTTAAAAAAAAAAAAAGAACACCATAGTCTGGATACTTTCTATTGTTACTACCATTCTGAATATATCTTTTTTCTTATGGTTTCTAAAGAGTAATTATATATAAACATCAAAAATGAAAAGTGCTCCCAACATTTTCTTTCAATTCTTTTTTCACTTGACCCTTACAAATCTTTTCAGTTTCCAACTAAAGAATTTGCTTGTTGGCAGGGAGTTATTTTTTAATAAGCCCAATATTCTGATTCCAGTTAGCACAAACCTGTATCCATCTCCATATTTCTCACTGTTTTTTTCTCTTCGGCGCCTTTGCTTCTCTCGTCGAGCCTCAATTCGTCGTTTTTCTTCTTCTTCGTTTTTAGGATCAGTTTTTGCTAGGATATCAGACAAAGGGGGCACAGCTAAAAACCAATTTTCCATTCTTGTCTTCAAAGCAACAAGTTCATGAAGTACAGGCATTAAAAAACTCCACTTAATGAGCATAGCTAAATTTTACTCATCAGAAAAACAAGTTAAAAAGAGTTTGAAACTATCCACTGTATTTCTGAACCATTACTGAAAAGACCTCATTTGAATATTGAGAATTTTGTTGTATTTCTTTTACTTGGTCATTGTTCTTTAAACCTACTCATTTTTCTCTTATCCTTATTCTAAACAGTAAGATCTACCATTGAAAATCATCCTGAATACATACACTTTAAGAAACATTCAAGTAACTTGACCTTGCAAGAAGGGCAAAGGCTTAGCCTAGCAGCTAAGACCCAAGTAAGAGTGTGCAATCATTAACATTATGCAGTTCCACAAATTTCAACACTCCAAATAAAGCCCCATGACCACTAAGCAAGTGGCCACACTCCTAAAACTCTCCAAAGTACTATTCCTATGGATTTGAAGATTCTAGCTATTTCATACAAACAGAATGATACAGTCTGCTGCCTTTTTTGGATAGCTTGTTTTTACAGTTCATTCATGTTGTACCATGTCATCAGCACTCCCTTTTCAGACCGAATGCAGTTCTCATCTCTTAACATTTTCTTTTTAACTGAAATCCGTAGAGATCTCCACATGCCAGTGCACATCCAAAATGTACAGCTGGCAGGGATGGCTCAGGCTCCAGTCTGAATTCCAGCTTGCTACAGGGAGGCAGCAGGCCATTGGCCAAGCAGTTGGATCCCTTGGAGAACTGAACTGAGTTCCTGGCTCCTAGTTTCAGGCTTCTCTAACCCTGGCTGTTGTGAGCATTTGGGGAGTAAACTAGAGAACAGGACATTCATTCTCTTTCTCCTCCATAGCTTCCAAATAAAGACAATGGACAAAACTAAAGGAATAGTGTAATTTGGTTCTGAACTTTTTCCAAGAAGCTTTGTTGATACAATTCACACACTACAAAATTTACCCAGTTAAAGTGTGCCATGTGGGGCTTACACTTGCAACTCTGATATCCTATGTAGGCATTGGTTCAAGTACTATACCTCCCACCCAGCTTCCTGCTAATGCACCTGAGAAAGCAGCAGAAAATGGCCCAAAGCTTTGGGCCCCTGCACCCACACAGGAGACCTGAAAGAAGTCCTAGCACCCAGCTCTGGACTGGCTCACCTCTGGCCATTTTGGCCATCTAGGGAGTGACCAACAGGTGGAAGATCTTTGTTTCTTCTTCTATCTGTAACTCTGCTTTCCAATAAAAATAAATCTAAAAATAAAAATAATCCAATGGTTTCATATGTATTTATTTATGTCCCTCACAATTTTAGAAATTTTCTTTTTACTAAATAAGTTTTTATTTATTTGACAGAGTTAGAGAGAGGCAAATGTTGTTTTATCTACCAGTTCACTTTCCAAATGGCAACGGGGTCAGGTCAACTTCATGAATCAAGACAGTCTTCTGGCTCTCCCACATGGGTGCAGGGGCCCAAGCACTTGGGTTGTCCTCTGCTGATTTCCCAGGTACATTATTAGCAGGGAGCTGGATGGAAAGTGAACAGCCAGGATTCAAACCCGCATCCATATAGGATGTACAGGTTACAGAAAGCAGTTTAACTAACTGTATCACAACTCTGGCCTTTAATTTTAGAAATTTTCATCACTTCAAGTAAAACTAGGTATTTTTTCTGTGATTTTTGTCAGGATCCCATAATATTTAGCCAAGAGCCCAAAGAATCATTAATCCATTTGCTGTCTCTGGATTTTCCTATTCTGTACTTCCACATGAATAGAATTACAAAAATATGATCTTTTAAAGATATATTCATTCTTCCATCTGCTGGTTCACCTTCCAAACGGCCACAATGGCCAGAGAAGAGTTGATGGAGGCCAAAAGCCAGGAGCTGCTTCCAGGTCTCCCACGCTTCGGGCCACACCCTCTGCTGCTTTCCCAGGCTATCAGCAAGGAGCTGGATGGGGAGTAGAACACCCAGGACATGAACCAGTGACCATGTGGGACGCTGGCACGTGCAGGCAGATTATCAATTGGTTCCAAATATATGAACTTTCGTAATTGCTTTAATTCAGTACAGTCTTCCAGATTCATTTTTGTTATCAGCATCTTACTACATTTTGTTAACCAAACAATATTCCATTGTATAGACATGCCATATTGTTTATCTATTCATCCCTTCATGGACATTTGAGTTGTTTCTACCCTTCAACTACCATAAATGATGTTAAACATCCACATATACATTTTAGTGTGAACCTGTGTTTCATTTTTCTTGGGTATAACAAATATTATAGGTCAAATGGCAATTCTAATAGCTTAAGGAGTTGCAAAGCTGTTTTCCAAAGTGGCTGTTCAACTTCATATTTCCCTAGCAGTGCACTAAGGTTATGTTTTCTCCCCTTGCTAGGGTTTCTTATTTCTAGACAATATGAAGACATACTTGATAACAGTTGATTTATATTTCTCAGCTGTACAAGTCTGAACATGATTTGGCCAACAAATTCATTTAGATGTTTAAACCTCAAACCCACACAAAGACCCTAATTAGTATTTAATGCAATTAAGATCTACAAGAGGGTGAGTATAGTGGAAGGTCTTTAGCTCAGCCCATTTGTGTCTTTGGAAGGTAGTTCCTTTAAGATTTTTGGTTATAAAATCCTAGATGGGTACAGCCACTGTCCCTGCTTCCTGGCTCATATGATCCATCCTTTCTTTGCACCTACATCACAACCACCATCCACTACCATCACATGGGTGAAGCCAATGGGCCACTAATCTAGAGACACTGAACAATCAAAACTGTGAGCTTCATAAATCTTTTCTGCTAGAAAATTGACTCATGTGTATCACTGCAGTAATGAAAAGCTACACATTGATAACTAACTACTGAGCACTAGATCATGTGTTCACTGGCCACTTTTATAACCCTTTGGGAGAAATAGCGATTCACATTATTTTTCCTAATTAGGTTATGTATTTCATTAGGTTGATTGAATGAGCTTTCAATACATTCTAGATACAAGTTACATCTGAGACGTGATTGGCAACTATTTTCTTTAGTGTGTATTCTTTTTCTTAATGGTATTCTTTGAAGCAGTGTTAATTTTGATTAAGTACTATTTATTTTTCCATTTTTTGCTCATGCTTTTCATGTCATGACTTGCTCCGTTGCTCCGTTTTCCTCAAAGAGCATCGTGTCTGCAGCTCATGCATTTTAGCCTTTGCATGTAGCTATCCAACTATCCCCACACTACCTGTTGAATATTCTTTATCCGTTGAAAAGTCTTTGACATCTTGTTAAAAATTGATCGTAGATGTCTGGGCTTATTTTTGGACCCTCGATTCTAGTCCACCAATTCATGCCTGTCCTTGTGTCAACAGTCTTCACTACTCTTGCTTTACAACAAATTCTGAAGCTTGAAGTACAACTCCATCTACTTTTGTCTTTTTAAAGATTATTTTGGCTATGCCAAGGATCTTATACTTCCCTAAGAATTTTGGAATCAGCAAGAAATTGGCAAGAATTGATAGGTATTACACTGAATCTGTAAACGAGCTTAGGAAACACCGTCATTTTTACAGCATCAATATGCTATTCTGTGAAGATTTGCTAATTTCTTTCCACATCTTATAATTTTCAAGTATAATTTTACCTTCTCTTGTTAAGTGCAAGCCCTTGTATTACCATCTTTCTGATGCCATCATAAATGAAACTTTTTATGCTCATTTTCAGATTCTAGATTTTTAGTACAAAATAAATTATTATCTCTAGATTTTGTCCAGAAAATTAAAAAGCAAATTAATTTCCTAGAACAGTTTCCCAAGTATCAGGAATCATGAAACTTCTCTTTGTCCCAATACAGATTTTATGACCAATCACATCTTCAACAATATGTATAATATCATCTAACAGCCAAAAAAGGGGATCTGAATCAAGATCATGAGTTAGGCCTTTTGAAAAATTAAGATGCTGTGGCACTACCACACAGCATTCAAGGAAAAAGAATGGAGCACCACATGTGAATTTAAAAGTACCTTTGAGTACTAATGAATGACGAATCACAGTGTCGGGGGTGGGGGGGTGGGCAGGGGACTGTTTGACATAGCAGCTAAAACACCAATTAACATGCCTGCATCCCATACTGAAGATTCTGGATTGAATGTGATGCTTACTTCCTGACTCTACCATCCTGCTAACGTGGACCTTAAAAGGCAGCAGTGATGGCCAAGAAACTGGGTTCCCAGATATTTAGCCTGGCCCAGTCAAACCATTGTGGTCACTTTAAAAGTTAGTCAAGCAAATGAAAGGCCACTTGTACTCATCTCAACAAACTGTTTTCTAAAATAATGAAGTCATCCAATATATATTATTAGTAATGACAGGCAGATTTTCTGAAGTTGTAATCATTATGCAATTTTTCTATGCATACATAAAATCTAAAAGCACTAAATTTAACAAAACAAAAATTCTACCCAGGAAACAGTAATTTCTTTCCTTTACTTACTAAGCGACTTACTGAGATTTGCCTTCTCCATCGGCTTTGCTAGCTTGGCTTTCTTGATAAAGGTTCCTCCGGGTTTATTAAATGGCTGTACTATTTTTCTCTTTATTCCTCTTGCAGCAGCAACTGTCATATTGGTGGGTTTGTTTTGATAGTCAACAACAATTCCGGGTCTAGGAATGTTTCCAAAATCACCCATATGCTGTAAATTTGTGAAATCAAGAAATATTAACATATTGTCCAAAGATGTGAATTCACACAAAATGTTCACGGTAACTAGTAATTAACTGTCACTTGAAAATTCTCTGGAATATAACTAAATTGTACATGTTCACTCTGAACACACAATGAAAAAATGTTGTGAATTATAACATGAACTCAAATCCAGTGAATTGATATTTTTATTGCCAGTGGAACAAATATGAATATTTCCTAATTTTTTTATTTTTACATTTCAAAAATACTTGAGATGATAAACAACATATGTGCCTGTCAGAATATTACCACTTGTACAACTCACTGACAACTCCTCTTCAGAGTTCCTAATTGAGGTTTTCCCATGAAAAGACCTTAAAAGAAATCTTTATTTTACTAAAAACTGGCTGAGAACTAATGTATACAAAGACCATATTTGTAGTTTGATATAAAAAAAAGATCCAGATATCATTTAGAATGTCTCCCTGTTGAAAAAGGGAATGAGAAGGCGAGATGGAACATTAGCATGAAATAGGAGAGTTAAAGCATAACCATGCATCAACTTCCAAGACACACTTCAGATCAAGAATTGCATCTGACGTTCCATTCACATTCTTACCTACAGAGAAATATTCTGACCCAGAAGCACAACAAGCCAAAGTTTAGAGGCGAAGAGTCATGCAACCGAACGACTCTTTGTGTCCCTTGCTTTCCTCTCAATAACAAAACCCACTACACCAAGAGGCTACATGTCCATAGAAATTTATCTTGCTAATCTTTTATAAGATTGAGGAATAATCTGAAGAGAAGGACCCAATGGGAATTGTACAAGTGAAGATTAAAAATGAAGGTCCTACAGGTTCATCTACTGCAGTATCAGAAGGAGAGAAAGAACATCCATTCAGAATAGAATGGTAGTATAGGAAACCATGTTTTACTGTCATGAAAACAAAAGTGATATTTGAAGTCTCATTAAGAAAAAGTCCTTTGCCTAAAAATAACACAGAGGATAATGTGTAGTGTATTCCAAATTTTCAAACTGGAGTGGATCATCAGTTTCCAAACCCAAAGCCTATTCCCCCAACTAGTTTCAATCAACCTACAATCATGAAGCCTGGTGGAAAAGCAACATTTCAGTTGCTTTCATTTGTACACTATGCTTAGGAATGCCTATCCAGCCTAGATTTCAATAAATTAGTGTTTCCAGGTAATTTTAAAAGTCATAGCAGAAAAATCCTCACTACTTATCCATTAAAGGTGCAATGCATTTCATACAAGAATAACTGTTAATGCAAAATTTCTATACAAGTATTGACAACTACACTGGTATAGCAAAGGTTAATGAGTCAAAAACATGTATTCTACCACATTGCTTAACAAAAGTATTTTCCTTGGCAGAGAATATTATGAGCAACTAATTTTAAAATCTTATAGCCATAATACAATAATTTTCAAGTGATCAAACTACATCATAACCCCACGATCTATATACAATTACCAGCTAAAATTTCCCATCAACCAAGCTATCTAGAAACCTAAAGCATAATCTTTACACTCTTTATCTGAAATGAAGCACCTGAGGACTCATATATATACTCATTTTGGCAACAATTTACAAACTACTAATTCCTAGGAAGGAACCATAAACTATCTCTCCAAAAAGGAAATCACTGCAAGAGTAAAGCTAGTGACGTATGGAAAAATGAAAGAACAATAGGACATACTTTAAAGAGAGTGAATTGGGAAAAATTATACTGACCAAAACCCATTCTACAATCTATTAAGCACATCAACTCCCTCGCCACAGAAACATAGCTAGGTTATCCTGTTCTAACACCAACTTGTGTTTAATGTGAAACAGGGAGCTATGAAGAAATTCTACATGCTGGCATTGGCAGCAAAGTATAAGCGTTTTATCATACATTGCACCTTTAACCTACTCAAAAACTCTAAAAGGGTTCAGTTACCTTGTACAATAATTCAAAACTGTCCCACTAGCAAAACTGCTAGTGTTTACAAGGAAAAATGCAACTCCTTTTAACCCCTTTTAGACCAAACCTAATATCCTCACCTTTTTTAAAAAAGGGAGCTTTGGCACAATTTTATCAACAATTATCTTAAACTGCCACTTACTAGGGTGCTGGAAAAACTTACAGTGAACCTAAAAATTATGTTTATGAGTCAGCTTTTGCTTAAAATACACTGGGATCAACAGTGTTTATGCTAGTTTAAAAAAAACATGGTCTTGAAAGGGTTTAAAAGAGTGACTAGTGAAAAGAATCTGAAAAGATTCTGTTGTACTTACTCCTCGGCCTCGGCCTCTGCCTGTTGATGGTCCTCCAAAAGCATCATAGTTTCTGCTTCCAAACGTACTTTCAGGATAAGCAGGCGTTCCTCTCCCCCGAGAGCCTACAGGTGCAGGCTTCATATGGGGTGAAGAAAAACTGCTGTAGGAAGAGTAATCCTCTCTTCCTCTGTCCTCCATAAACCCAGGCCTCAATTTTGAACGGGAGTAAGGTGCTTCCCAGCTAGACCCGCCCTGGTTTCTACCTCCGAAAGAGTCAAGGCTATTCCGGTAGGAGCTCTCAAATCGACCACCATAACTACCTCCGAAGCGGCTTTGTTCGGGTTCATTAAAACCATAGCCAGATCTGTACAGATCTCGCCCACCCAGAGAAGACCTGGAGTCGTAAGACTCATAAGGTCCAAACCTGGAAAAGTTGCACAGTGAGGGAAAAAACAAAAGTAAGCTTACTAATGTTAGACAATTCAAAAGACAAATTATAAGATGACATTTATCAACTAAAATTCATTTATATCATACTGGTTTATACAGTTCTAATTTTGTTCACACTTGATTAGGGCTGGGCACTTCAGCATGAGACCAGACAGAAAGCTATCTGAGTCAGTTTCTAAACAGAAATTGAGTTTTATAAGCCTCAGGTTAAAAATCTGCTTGTTAGCAGCTCTTATTTTATTAAGATTTGACTGTCATAATCTATGCCCAGCCCTAGTCTTGAAAAGGGTTCATTTGCTAAAGTTCACAAACTACTCAAACTCTTTGAATTAATTGCTAACAGTGAAAATAACAAAGCATTTACAGTATTTTGGCTTTCAGCTGGAACTCAAATTGAAGACTACACAGATGTAGGCTAATTTGTGATACAGAGATCCATTTGCACCTCAATAATCTATATCACAAAACTGCTTCATTGTGTCTGTCAGTCAAAATTTATGAAGTTATCTCTAATTACACCAAACTTCAGCCAGTGTCAATAATCAATCTTAACTTTTTACTTATAGACTAGCAAATCTAAGAGGATAAACACATCAAACAGAACATAAAAGATCACCAATGCATACCCTTTGCATATGAATTTTCAAGGCAGATGAAAACATATTTTGTAATATCTCTACTTTAGAAAAACCGTTTCCTGTCAGGAAACGATCATATAAACTACTCTACAGAAGGAGAACACAGTCTCCTCAAGAAGAAATAAATTATCTTACTTCTCACAAACCCAAAACAAGGATTGCAAAAGTCAATATCTTGTAACAATATTATATACAGCCCACAATTACAAATCATAACATCTACAGAAATAGTTTATGCATATCACATGTACAATGTTACAGAGCAGTAACTGATAAAATATTTACAAGTCACATTATTTCAATCATTTATAAAAAGAAGATATTTAGTTCTAAACCATAGCAACCATACTGACTACATGTTTCAAAATTTCTATCATAGAAGCAAAACTGATATAACTATTTTCCTTTATATTTCTCTACCAAGAATTTTAATGGCAGGCATACTTAAAAAAAAAAAAACGAAAGCATCATTCAAGCCATTATTAAGGAATCCAGATCCTTCAATTTTATGAAGAAGGATAAGTTTCAAATGTCTCCTATCTAGCACTACTTATGTTCAATAGGAATCTCTGTGCATCAAAAAGCAGGCCCCCTTTTCTGGACATACGGTCAATCCGAAAGCCTAAAATTAAGTAGGTTTAAGCTGACATAGTATCAAAAATGAACTATAAAAAGAATGGAGACTTAGTCAAAAGGGTTGTATCCATAACCTTGAATCAATGCTCCTTCCTTAGAGCACAGTATTTTGGGTTAAGAACCAATTGTCAATAAATAACCTTGGGCATGATTTAAAGAACGTTTTTATAGGCTCTTTCAACTTATTTAAAATTAAAAGACTCTCTTAAATGTTTCTTAGAAACACTGCTTGACTGGTTCATTTAAATCCACTCTAGTTGACTGCTTTCGTTGCCTTATGCAACACTCATATTAGGAAAAAAAATTTAAGTGACCTATACAAAGAATTATTTCCAATAAAATACTTTTAGGTAATTTGTTGTGGACAATTTTATCAAAAAGGAGTTAAATCAAAAGTAAAAAAAAAATGTTCACTGGTAAAATTTTAGTCTTACTGCAATGAAATGACAACAGCTACCATGAGCTTTCCTAAAATGTCTGCCAATGACCACAAGATAACATTTTTATACCCATTAATTAGCATCTTTAAAGGTTTACAGTAATTATTCAGCACTAAACAGTGAAGCTCAAGTATAACATATCCTAAATAATTCTTAAATATATCCAGAATCTTAGTTATTTAATTATTTGGCCAAGTGATGAAGCAATTTACCTGCTACCCCCACCACCACCACTGTGATTGTCCATGCCATATGACTGGTTTAGGTAGGAATCCATGGATCTTTGACCCCCGTAGGATCCATGGCCATACTCTCGATCCATCCCTACAAGAGTTTAAACAGAAAAAAATTAAATGAAGCTCACCTTCATTGGTACTCAAAAAAAGTTTTTAGATAAATATCCTTGTATGTCAGACCTCCATAAGATCCAGGGCCATAATCACGATCCATTCCTAAAAGACAATCAATAAGAACATCTCAGTAAAATGTCCTACTTATTCAGAAAATTTAACATAAGATTTTGCATATCAATTATGCTAATAAATCAAAATATTAAAGTTCAATCACATTAACCATGGGAAGAAAAATATAATAAACTTAAAAGTCAGATTTTCTTACAAAGTCTAATATTTCAAAAAGAACACATATTGTCAATTAAAAGCTTATATGTAGGAATTTCAGGATGGGAATGGGGGTGGGGGGAGGGAGGCTGAGCTATGTGATCAAGTAGTTAAACCACTTTATTCAGGGCCAATGGTGCTCCCTGCTGGTGCACCTGGGAAAGCAGCAGAGGACAAGCCCCTGTTACCCCTGGTTTCTGGCTTTGGACTGGTCCAGCCTTGGTCATTGTGACCATTTTGGGAGTAAAGGGCAGACTAAAGATATCTCTAATTCTGTACTTCATGTAAATAATTTAACCAATATTCATTTGATTAGAAAAATACTTCTTATATGGCTCTGGGTTAGGCACTACAGCATATTACACATAGAAAGAACTAAAAAATACGAAATTCCTGGGCCTAGCACAGTAGCCTAGTGGCTAAAATCCTCACCTTGCTCACACTGGGATCCCATATGGGCACTGGTTCTAATTCTGGCAGCCCCGCTTCCCATCCAGCTCCCTGCTTGTGGCCTGGGAAAGCAGTTGAGGACTGCCTAAAGCCTTGGGACCCTGCACTCACGTGGGAGACCCAGAAGACAGAAGCTCCTGGCTCCTGGCTTTGGATCGTCCCAGCTCCAGCCAAAGCAGTCACTTGGGGAGTGAATCACCGGACAGAAGATCTTTTCTGTCTCTCCAGTTCTGAGTGGGGCCTTAAAATTCCTCTAAATTCATAAAATGACATTCTAGCAAATTTTGCAATTTTTTTAAAATAAAAATGAATTTTTATTGGAAAGGCAGATTTACAGAGAGAAACAGATAACGAAGAGAAAGATCTTGTGTCCACTGGTTCATTCCCCAACTGCCACAATAGCCAGAGCTGAGCTAGAACCATCTGAGTCCCCCAAGCAGGTGCCAGGTCCCCAGGCTTTGGGCCGTCCTTGACTGCTTTCCCAGGTCACAAACAGGGAGCTGGATGGGAAGTGGAGCAGTCAGGACACAACTGATGTCCCTATGGGATCCTAGAGGATACAAGGCGAGCATTTAGCACTGAGTCATAGCCCAAGCCCCAAATTTTGCAATTTTCAACCTAAACTACAGATGGAAACAATATAATTCTTTTGGCAAATTTATAGTGTCATTATCCAAATCAAAAATATATTCTGGGTCCAGCGAGATGTCCTAGTAGTTAATCCTAGCTTTGAATGCGCCAGTTCTAAACCTGGCTGTTCCACTTCCCATCCAGCTCCCTGCTTGAGCATGGGAAAGCAGTTGAGAATAGCCCAAAGCCTTGGGACCCTGCATCCATGTGGGAGGCCCAGAGGAAGCTCCTGGCTCCTGATCACCTCAGCTCCAACTGAGGCGTGGTCACTGGGGGAGTAAAACAGTGGACAGATCTTCTCTGTACAGCTGCCTTTCCAATGAAAATAAATCTTTAAGAAATTCTTCAGCATTCTTTTTACTTAAAGATCTATTTTACTTGTATTTTTTAAGATTTTTATTGTAAAATCAGATATACAGAGAGGAAGATCTTCCATCTGCTGATTCACTCCCCACGTGGCCACAACAGCTGGAGCTAAAGCCAGGAGCCAGCAGCTTCTTCTGGGTCTCCCACATGGGTGAAGAGCCCCAAGGCTTTGAGTTAGGAAAGCAGGAAAGGCCATCTTTTCCTACTTTCCCAGGCCACAAGCAGGGAGCTGGATGTGAAGCAGGTCTACTGGGATCCCGGTGTGTGCAAGGTGAGGACTTTAGCCATTAGGCTACCACACCGAGCCCTTTATTTTTATTTGAGAGGCAAAGTTGCAAAAATAGAGAGGTCTTCCATCCATCTGATAGTTTACTCCCCAAATGACCACAATGACCAGAGCTGAGCTGAGCTGTCCTCACGAGCTTCTTTCAGGTTCCCTGCAAGGGTTTAGGTACATGAAGACTTGGGCCATCTTCTGCTGCTCTCCCAGTCCACAAAACAGTTAACTGGATCAGAAATAAACAGCCAGAGCCAGGACACAAACCAACACCTTTAGAACAATGGCACCACAGATAGAGGGCCACGGAACCCACACTAGCACTCTTTTAATGCACATCAACTGGAGCCAGCACTGTGCCCAGCAGGATCAGCAATGCTTCTAGGCATCCCATATACACACCAGTTGAGTTCCCCTGCTCTAATTCCAATCTGCTTCCTGTTACTGCATCTGGGAAAACAATGGAAGGCCCAAGTGCCACCCACTAGATGTTGCAGCCATCTGGGGAGTGAATCAGTAGATGGAAGACATGTGTGTTTGTATAATTCTCTGTAACTGCCTTTCAAATGATTAAAATACTTTTTAAAAATGCATTGACTACTTTCTGTAAGTTTAGCCTGCATCAAATCCAAAGTTTCTCTTTATCCTTATAAATGATACATAAAAATTAACTACATGATAATAGTTCCCATAAAATAAACATTTTCCTTAGTTTGCTTTAGTTTTTTTTAAAAGATTTACTTATTTATTGGAAAGTCAGATATACAGAGAGGAGAAGAGACAGAGAGGAAGATCTTCTGTCCACTGATTCACTCCCCAAGTGAGTGCAACGGCCGATGCTATGTCGATCCAAAGCCAGGATCCAGGAACTTCTTCCAGGTATCCCACGCGGGTGCAGGGTCCCAAAGCCTTGGACCATCCTCTACTGCTTTCCCAGGCCACAAGCAGGGAGCTGGATGGGAAGCAGAGCTGCCAGGACTAGAACTGGCACCCATATGGGATCCGGTGGAACTTTAGCCACTAGGCCATGCCGCTGGGCCCATGCTTTAGTTTTATCTTGTGAATATATTATACTGTGTAACAGCTGGGTTCTAACCTCTTTGACTTGTTAAGTGCTTTCCTCAGGTCATTATCCAATGAAAGGGACTTAGCTCTAATAACAATCAAGATAACACCCAAGAGTGTTCTCCATATCTCTTGTGATTTTATCTAACTCTATAGTCACAAGTTTAATGTCACGCTTATGTCAATAATCAGTTTTTCACGTAATTCTCCAACCAGTTCTTTATACACTAACATATTTGGAAACACTGAAGAAAATGACCTTAAATCAAGGTCAAAATGCGTTACAACAGAAGCTATATAAAAACAAGCCAATAACCACTTAAGCTACATTACTCAATACCAGAGCTTATTCAACAGAGAACTCAGTACTGTGTACGTCACTTATAGTCACCCAGAGCCTTTGTGAGAAATTTTAAAATTATAATCCAAATAAAATGAACAGAAAATTAAATTACTATGAAAATTTTCTGATTCCAAATTCAAATACTTCATTGGCTATAACACTAAACAATGAGAAGTAACATAAGAGCAAAAATCACGACCGAAATGAAGTAGAACTGCCTTCAGCCTGATGCACGTAAGGGAAAATCCAAATACACTAAATCAACAAATTTAACTGTAAAAAAAAAGGGGGGGGGGGGGGATACTCACCATTAAAACCCTGGTAAGTATTTCTGCAAGGATTGTGTATGTAATCTATGAAGAGACATTTAACAGAGAATTAATAAAATGCATCAAGCTTCCAAACTTATATAAGCATCTATTCATAACAATTTCTTAAATGCCATTAACTCAATTTCTCGCAAAATCGAGATACAAATACTCAACAGTACTCCACTTGGGAAAACATACGTCTCCTTTTTCTTGACTATGCTCGCCAAGTGCAGGTTCATCATCTAATTAAGGAAAAGGAAGGTTTAGCTAATAACACCTGATCCATAATTGCCAAAACAGGAGATCCAATACTGATTTAGTGAGGCACTAGGAGAAAGTTGAGACTCAAATAAGCCCAAAAAAAGCAAAAAACAGAAACATCTGAGAAGTGATTCTATGTAATACAACATTTTTTCAAAGTTAATACTTCTCTTGACCCTTAATTCACTATCTAAAATTTCAAGATCTAATCTAAAAGATGCATATATAATATGTAAGGGTATGAGTGTGGGTTAAATCCATCCACATATGGAAACCATATTATAGCCAATTTCCTTATTAAACCAATTTAACCAATGTTAACTCACCTAGTTAATTTTACAAATACTGAAAGAATGGAGTTTAATACAGTACTCGTTTGTGTACAACAGACTCGTGTTATACTATACACATTAAATGTTGTACAAATACAATGTTGGTCAAATTGCATTTCCCAAAAAAAAAAACATGCTAGCCGAGAACGGACAAAGAGGGAGCGATTTTATCACAAACATTGCTTAGACCTGTAGGAACATGAGGATAATAAAGAATTCTAAGTTCTATAACTTCTTTCAGATATAGAAATCATACTGTTTGTTGGGGGGGGGGGGGGAACAGCCCTTACCGTACCCAGCTCCACCTGCTGACCCCTGCTGGTACCTGAGTCTCGGTCGCCTGAAAACTTACTAAAAGGTTTTTGAATTTCCACCCTAAACTTTGACCATTTCAAGCATTTCATAGTTTAAAGGTATTTATACCATAATGAGTCAAAGCTCAATCAAAACAGACAAAAACATCAGGTACTCCTACCAGCTGAACTTCCTATGTCCGACTGAACAGCATCTATGGAAAGGTTTTTGGGGGTCCCCTTCGGCAGCTTTTACTCTTTGTACAACCAAAATTCAAAAGCTGATTCATCCATATGCCGAGATCACACCCAACTCAGTGTCAAACACGACTTGTTGGTGGCGTTTAGAGTCTTAACAAGTGCTTAGTGAACGGGTTTTATTTAGAAACGCCTGGCTCCGCGGGATTAAACCGCGTTTAATTAATCAAGCCCTTCCCCAAGCTTCCCGACTGCTGCTCCATTTTTTTCCCCCTTGACACCAATGTCTCTAAAAGTTGGGCAAGAGTTGAAGAAAGAAAAGATGAAGCCTCTGTGAATTCTTTCTTTTAACCCCGTGAAACACTCTGAGGCACTGGAGACGGGGATGCCTGGAAGGCACCGTTCCAACACGGTGTTATTTCATCAGTGAAAACAACAGGTCTGAAGGTGAAGGGCACGGCACGCGCGTCCACACACAAGGCCCCAAACACAAGCACTCTGCTGCTCGGAGAGCAACTCCAAGGAGGAATCCACGACGGGTCAGGCCCCTGTGCTACCAGGAAATACCTCGCCTTCCGCGCACGCCGATCGCCGATGGCTTCCCTTTAAACCCATCTTAGAGGCTGCCAAAATCACCGCGTTTAAAAAAAGAAGCTCCGAAAGCGCTCCCCGACAGGAAGAAGCCCGAGGCCGAGCTTTAACGCCCCGGACCGGCCCTCCCCGCCGCCCTCCCCGCAGGGCCGAGGCCCGACAAGCCGCCAGGCCCCGCTCGCCCGTTCGGCGGAACCGGCGAGTCGGAAGCGCTGGGCAATTTCCACGCAGGGGAGCCAGGCAGCGGACAGCCCGAGCACCGGGGCCCGTCCTTCCCCGCACCGAGCTCCCACGTCCCCGGCGGTAACGGGACCCGCGGGGCCCGCCAGGAGGCCGGCTCCGGGCGCCCGGCCCGCGGCGGGCGGCCTCCGGGCCCGCAGAACAAAGCCCACACGGCCATCTTGAGACGGTCCGCGGACCCCCGGCGGAGGCCTCCCGCCTCCCCTCCCCGCGCCGCGGAACCCCGAGAGAGGCCGCGCTTACCGTCGTTGAAGTCCATGGCGGAGGCTCGGGGCTGACGGCGTCGGAGGCTAAGCTTCGGCCGGCGGCGAGCGCCCACACCGCGCGCGGTTCCTCACGAGCTCCACCGAGAGCGGCGCTAAGGGCCCGGACCGCAGGCCACACAGAGGCTGGGGGCGGGGCCTGACGGGCGCCAAAGCGCGGCCCGCGATTGGCTGGAGCGTGCTGGGGGCGTGTCTTAGCGTGGGGGCGGGAAGCCGGCCGCCCGTCCCGCTCCGCCTCCCTGACCCTGGGGAGCAGCCGCCAGCACCCAAGGTAAAAAGGGCGCGCCGCGAGTGGCGACGCCTGAGGGAAAGTGAGCCGGCCATTCTAGAAGAGCGGCTGCGGCCCCGCCATGTTTGAACCTGGCAGGGTTATCTTCCTCCTGCTCCAATGAGTCGAATCACGTGCCTACCTTTTCCTTTTTATTGGCTGCGGATGACTGATCCAGAAAAAGCTTGAGCATGTGTGAAGACGCGGAAGGCTGGGACGTCATTAGAACACCGAGCAGCAAACGGATCGCTGGGTGAGAAACAGTTATGGGAGTAGCACAAGACTGGTTGTTATACGGTTCTGAATGTGAAGGCGTTAATGAAAAGCCACACAAGCTCACAGACACACACCACACACACTGGCTTTGCATTGTGTCCACTTTTGAGCCAGCGCTGAGGACAGTGCGCAATATTGTGAGAGAGGTTAGACCGGGTAGTAGGCAATTAGGGTATTCTGGGTCCCCAAGTCATTTTTTTATATAAAATGGAGTTTCCCCACCATGCCTTAGGTTCAGCAGAGCACTTTTCTTCCGAGACAAGGGTACTATTAGCATATCAATTCCCCACTTGAAGTACCAGCCATTAGCTCCAGCCATTGTGTGGGAGAAAGTAATACAGATTTATTTTTATTAGTTTTTTATTGGAAAGGCAGATATACAGAGAGGAGAGTCAGAGAGAAAGATCTTCCGTCTGATGATTCACTCCCCAAGTGAGCGCAACAGCCGATGCTATGCCGATCCGAAGCCAGGAGCCTCTTCCAGGTCTCCCACGCGGGTGCAGGGTCCCAAAGCCTTGGGCCGTCCTGGACTGCCTTCCCAGGCCACAGGCAGGGAGCTGGAAGGGAAGCAGGGCTTTCGGGATCAGAACCGGCGCCCATATGGGATCCCGGGCGTGCAAGGCGAGGACCTTAACCACTGTGCCACTGTGCCAGACCCGGAAGTAATACATTTATGCGCAAGCCTGGAATGGCCTATGTCTGGCACCTCTGGTCTTTTGTCCCCAAAACCAGATACCTGGGGATCAGGAAATGCCTTTCTTCTTGGAAAAATCCCCTTCAGAAAATAAAGCTTTAAAAAGATCCCAACGAGGTTCAGATGGCAACTCCTCTGGCAGGACGCAGACTTGGCAGGTAAGCACAAGAAACATGATAGGAAACAGCCCAGAACAGGCCATGGAAGGTCACCCACGGACATACATCTGGCAGGGGTTGGGGGAAGGCCAGGCTGAATCTGTCCACGTCATCCACTGGCAAATCCAAGCACCAGTGTGGGTCGAGCCAGGTTCGGTCGCAACAAAGACTAGTGCACAATACGGAATGCCGAGGTGAGGTTGCCTGTACCGGAAGGGACTGCAGCGCCCAACACGCATGAGAACAAGGAAGGGAAGTGGGCAGAGCCGGCAGGGGAATAAACAACTACTCCCACTGGAGAGCATGGGCTGGGATGGGGGCAGACCAGACTAAGCAGGGCTACCACACCTGTGCACCTCATGTGGCCTGGATATGGGAAAAGCCGGGCTGGGCTGATTATTCCTACTGGTGCAAACAAAATTAGAGTGGGTGAGGGTTGTTTGGGCTTAGACACAGCATCAGCTGGAATCTGGGACTGGGAGAGGCCTGGGAGGGAAATAGTGGGCTCATCCCTCTTGGGTTATCACTCCCACGGGAGGGCACGAAAACCAGGACAGGGACTGGGGTGGAATGGGGTGTGGGACAGACTGGACTACTGCCTCACATACTGGCAATCCAGGGTAGAGGGCGGGTTGGTGGGGTTTATTGTGGGTCGCTCCAACTAGGCTGCAGCTCACACTGGTTTATGCGAGGGCCAAGTATGTGCTGGGCAGCACCAGGCTGGACTGCAACACCCATTGGTTCTAGTGGAAGTCGGGAGTGAAAACAGAACCAACCCAGCAATTGCAACCACCAGCTGATCAGGGTGATGGACTGAGCTGGGCCCTGTACTTGCTAGCACATATAAGAAGTTTCTTTGGAGATCTTCCTAATCTAAATGCTGGACTCAGAACCCCAACCAAGAAAAGAGAGAAGACAGAACAGGTCAACCAACCATCTCAGCTATGATGGACTATGTCAATCAGTGGATTTTTCAAAGACCTCATAGTGCTTGGAGTGGCAAGATTGGCAGCGATTCATAACTGTTGCAATATCAAAACCACTAGAGCAAGAACCTCAGAGGATGCCCTACCTCCGGTACCTGGGGAGGATGGGGAACTGGGCGGGCCTTCTCCCTTAATACCCCCCTTTAAACATGAAGGAAGCAATATGGAAAAAATACTAGTCTTATCCACTAGCCCTTGAACCTTTTCACCCTAATTAACTATGTAAAGATTGTCAAAATAAAAAATTTTTAAAAAAAGAAGCTAAATAAATAAATAAAAAGATCCCAACACCCTCAAGTACGGGTTCTTTCTATCTCAGAGCCCCCTCTTGTCACTAGGACAGTAGTCTCCTTTCTCAACTTTTATAATAAATCTTGCTTTAAAACTAAAGTGTCCGCACGAAAATTCTTCTTTCCTGCGAGACAAGAATTGAGGTTCCTCTCGTATTCGGGGACAAAAACCCTGCAACAATATGAAAAGAAGAACCTTTTTGGTTATTCTGACCCTGCAGCGGCTGGAACTACGGGGTTAAGAACATTTTTTTCGTAAAGCAAATGGTGGCGACAATGAGCTGACAGGAAACAATGAATTAAGGGTATTTGCTGTTCTTCTGGATTCGACCAGCTGCCAAAACAAGCTTTAAGGAGGCAATACAATTGGGAAGAAAAGCTCCAGTTAACTTTAGCTGTGTGGGGGAGGGTAACCAGAAATCTGAGCTAGGCATCACTCCCTCCCTCAACATTTTCTTGTTTCCTTCTTTTTTTGTCTTTTTTCTCTTTCACCTGCTCCATATGCTTTCTCATCACTTAACCTGAACCTGTCCAAAGCAGAACTCAACAAATTCCTCTCCTCAATCCCACTGGGGCTCCTGAATTCCTTCCTGTCTGCAGGTGACAGTTTGAGCAACAACCTACTAATCCCACCCAGAGGCCTGCCAGTCATCCAGTCAAGACTCACCCCACCCTTCCACTCACTCCCAATCCATACTTGCATCAGTTTATTACCCCCTAATACGATCCTTAAACCTGCCCCTCATCGCCATCCCCACCGCCAATATTTTAGTGTACAAACTCATTAGCTCTTCGTATAAAGTTTTTAACACTGTAATTATTTCTCTTTTCCCCCCTTTCACCCTCCGATTTTTCAGCTGCACTGATGTAAATCTCAGCCCACACTGGTCACTGGGTATCTCTACGATTGATTAAATTCAGGCACATGCCCTTAACCTGGAGCACCTACAGCAGGAATGGCCAGACCTCCACTATTCTGCATTCCGTCTCCTCTCATCCAAACTCTCCCTGTTACTCACCAGTTTAAGGATACTGGTTGCCAAAATACACCCATGTCTGTTTAGGTTCCCGAAACTTGGTTTATACTTCCTTGTATTTAGTTCACCACCAGGTTGCCAATATTCATTCTCAAAACAGATCAGAATTGATTTTTTCCAAGAAACATTTCCAAATCCCAACCCACTCTTTAGGCCAGTAGATCTCGATCATGAACATGCAAGCGACTCACCTAGGACTTGTTAAGACAGATTCGCCTCCTGGCTGGTTGGGGTGGGGCAGGAGAGTGTGACTTTCTGACCAGTTTGGGGCAGACAGCCCGACCAGGCTTCAGGCTACGCTACCTTGCGTTAACCATTCTAGCCTGCTACCTCTCCACAGTAAAAGCTCCTTGTGATTGCAGTGAAGTCTTTGTCTTGTTACTGCCAATCCTTGAACTTGCCCTGAATGTTTGTAATGTATTTTTCTTGTTATCCTGTTTTTCCCTATTTAGCTTCTAGCAAAGAACTGATTCTGTAACCAGAGGTCTTAAGTTTTGACAAGACTGAAACTGCATTTGGGTCACTGTACTTGTATAACAAGAGTGTTTTCTCCAACCCATTTCTTCTCTAAAAATGAAAAGTTGGGGCCATCACCATGGCGTAGCAGTCTAAGCCTCCTGTAGCACCTGCATCCTATATGGGTGACGGTTCATGTCCTGCCTACTCCACTTCCAGTCCAGCTTGGGCCCATGCACCCATGTGGGAGATCTGGAAGAAGCTCCTGATCCAACTGTTGCAGCCATTTGGAAAGCGAAAGATTTTCTCTCTTTCCTCCACTCTCTGTAACTCTGTCTTTCAAATAAAAATAAAATAGGACCCAGCGTGATAGCCTAGTGGCTAAAGACCTCCCTTTGCACACACAGGGATCCCATATGCACACCTCTATGCTATTCCAGTTCCCTTCAAGCTCCCTGCTTGTGGGAAACAGAAGACAGCCCAAAGCCTTGGGACCCTACACCTGTATGGGAGACCTGGAAGAAGTTCCTGGCTCCTGGCTTTCAGGTTGGCTCAGCTCTGGCCATTGCAGTCACTTGGGGAGTGAATCAGCGGATAGAAGAGGAAGATCTTTCTTTGTATCTCCTTTTTTTTTTTTTAAAGATTTATTTTATTATTTTCATTGGAAAGGCGGATATACAGAGAGGAGAGACAGAGAGGAAGATCTTCTGTCCAATGATTCACTCCCCAAGTGAATGCAACGGTCGATGCTATGCCGGTCTGAAGCCACACAGGTCTCCCACATGGGTGCAGGGTACCAAAGCTTTGGGCCATCCTCGAATGCTTTCCCGGGCCACAGGCAGGGAGCTGGAAGGGAAGCGGGGCTGCCGGGATTAGAACCGGTGCCCATATGGGATCCCGGGCGTGCAAGGCGAGGACCTTTTAACCAC